TGGGCTCATGCATCATCATGCATTGGTCCAACGTTAGGCCAATGTAAGCTTGCTTTCTGGGGGGTAATAGGGAACGCGATGTAACTTGATGTGTTCGGAATTACCCCACGTACGTAGGGTAATATTCTACCTTTACGTACGTGGGGTTATTCCGATGTGTTTGAAATTACCCCACGCACATAGGGTAAAAGGTTTGCATGTGTAACAATTTCAAAGCCTAAATCATTTAGGTTGATTACACAGGTCTACAAATTAAAACTTTTTTTTTTTTGGAGTTAATGAATGATATGTATTTTGGTACGCTGATTTCAACAATACTATCCATTTCGACCGATCATGTAATGATTTTCCGCTAAGTCGAAAAAAAAATATGGGGAAAACCCGCCGTTTACTACTATTATAGATAATAATCATAAGAAAAACAAAATTGTAAAATTATACATATTTAATTAATTTTAAACTATAAAATAATTTGTTACAGTAGATACAACTATAAAGCTTAATAAAATCTAGATTTTTTAGTTTCCAAGCTTCGTTTAGTGCTTTTTCTTTTGTAGGGCGTTACATTTTGCCTATACAGCATCCAGCAGTAGTCGCCCATCATATTTAAAGTTGAACTTTAAACATGGACATTAACCCATTGATATCAGAACTATAGACAAGCTCACCATATTGAGAAAAATAAGGCTCCAAATATTTTTCATTATTTTTATACCAAGCAAAAGAAGTTTTTCTCTTAGATCCTAGTAACTCAGCAAAATGTTTTGAAAATCCTAAATCTCAGTTCAGGTCATTTAATTCAGCTTGAGAAAATTGTTGAGGACTACTTGAGTCGTCTACATGAACCTCGCCACTAGAACTTTCTTCTGAGTCACTATCTAATTCGTCAAGGCTTTGGGGTGCTAGTGGTATAGGAATGCCAGGTCATGAGGGACTAGGTTGAGTGCTGATTCCACGCTTGGATAAAAAGTTTGTTTTTTATATTTGGTATTACACCCCTGCACATTGCACGAACAAAAGTAGCAGTCATCGCTGTGGTTTCGAGGTTCTCAAGAGAAAAAGATTTAACTTGACTTTTTGACCACATTTTAAGTCCTTTAACACACCCTGAACAAACTCTATGCGAGGCCCAAGATTTGTCTTGATCGCCTATCTTCACACAAAATACGCAAAGTACACATTTTTAACAAATTCATTAATATTTATTTGTGGTTTTTTTACTACAAATTCTCGAAAAATATAGCAAAAACTCTCAGAATAATTTAAACAACTACTTTAAGTCGTTTTTGAAATGCACGTTACAAAAGTTGGAACTAAAAGAAATAAATAAAAGAGAAATTTCTTGGGGTTTTCCACATTTGTATATATCGGGATTTTCCTTACTTACTATGGAAAATCCCGAATCATAACGCTGAATTATATTATCTTCATGAGTTACTCATTGTTTTGTTTCAGACTAAAAAACATAAAAATACCTTATAATAAGTTAACAAATAAAATAATAAATACTTTGGCAATAAACCCCGTTTTGCGCCCCGAAATAGACAATCCCACAGCATTTTGCGTTTTTTAGAAAAACCTTTCGTGATGAATTTTATTGACAACTATTTTTGAATTCAGTGATTGAACACACATAAGAATTATTTATTTATTCTTAGAAAAAAAAATCTTGCAGACCTGTGTTATTTTACTTAATAAATCTAAAATATATAGTCCAACAAATTCTCATATTTCTCCTACATCATAACTAGCCATTGTTACGTCAAAGCAGTCATGTATGTTTTTCTTTTTCCAAATACTGCATCGATGGAAAATACCACAAATGTTATAAATTAGTTCTCAATGATCGAAAATAAAAATGACAGTACATTTATTCAATAGACATTAACGGTTTTTACCCCTTAATAACTAAATTTTGTTTAGATAAAACAATTTTATTTGCAAAAATCAACACAATCCCGAAGAAACAATCAGTATAATAAAAAATTTATTTTAATTTATTTTAATTTAATTTATTTCTTTATTTTAATTAGGAAACTTGGAAAAAAAAACATACATAATTGTTTTGAGTCGTAAAGTAAGTAGTAAAAAATCACTTAGCAAAAGGTTTATTCATTTAACTCAGTGTTTCATTAATAAAGACTCAACAAAAATAAATGATCAAATTAATAAAATTTCAATTTAATACCAATAAATTAAGTTACAGGAAGTCGCAAATGTCATAATTATTGTAAATTTTTGCACACTTGTGGTATATGCTGGCTCTATTATAAAAAGAATTTTATTGAAAAAGAATTGATTACTTCTGCTTTTTTTTAGATATTTTTTAAAAAAATTTAATGTAATTAATGTTTAAGCTCACTTATTTTTATAGTTTTTTAGGAGAAAGTTATTTTCGTCCCTCTATTTAGAAAATAATTACAATTTTTTGTTTAATAAACATTCTTGGTTTGCTTGTGTAATAACTTCTAATTTTTCTTGTAGGCATAGAATGCATTTTTTGGAAATATTGTTATATGCAGGTGCTTTTATAAGGATAGACCAATTCATTATAAAATCATCAATATTTTTATCTTTTCATTTCCATATATATTTTGACAGCATGGTGTCTTTTAAATACTTTTTATTTTTAAAGGATTACTTATGATTTGCAAAACGTTTTTTCCAGCCACCCTCTGTTATGTCATTATATTGTTTATCAGGTACATTCTTAGAGGAAACAACAAATATATGTACCACATTTTAAGATAAACAACCTCCACTAATTAGAAAATTGTTTTTTTGTTTAGAATTACAATTTTCTGTAGTTTTTTCATTTAGGATTTCTTTTTTGTTTAACAAAGCATTATTATTTCTTTTATAAATCTTTCCATATTTTTTGTGCAACTGTAGAAAAAAAAAATGTAATTTATGGAGGGCAGGAAACAAATTGAAAACGGGATTTGTTTTAGAATTTGGAGTGGATGATTTAACTTAATATTAATATATAACAATTCATCGTTTGGTTTTTTGAAAGCTTTATATAAATTTTCATGAAGGTTAAATGTGACGTCATGAAAGTTCACAATTTTTAAATTTATGTTTGTTTCAATTTGAAAGCCAATTTTTTGACACACTTTTATAACATTTTTTCTAATTTTATCGAGCTGTGAACCAGATTTTTAACACATTACTAATAAATCGTCTTTGCGATAAAGGCTAAATCATTGTTATTGATTACTTTACTTAATAAATCTTTATAATGTTTTATTATACGGATTGTTTTTATAGGAATAACTATGTGGCTATTTGCAATCTCAATTATTTTACCTAAAATATCTGCAGTTATTAAGGGATAAAATTCATTAATGTCAAATTGAATTAATGTACAGTCATTTCTATTTTTGATTATGGAGAACTAATTTATAACATCAGTGGTATTTGTCACTGTTGCAAATTTGATTTGTTTCTAAGAATATTATTGGTTTTGTCCAATTTAACTTTGCTTTTTTGTCCAATCTCACTTTTTGAGAGAATCAATAACCTACAAGAAAGTTTGTTTTTAAAATTTGGTTTATGGCCTTTTTTTGTTACAATACTTGGACAGGGGCAGTTGATTCAATTCTGTTATCAAGGTTTATGTTTTTAACAATACTTTTCCCTTCTAAATTACTTGCAAAATATGGAAAAATTTATAAAAGGTCACAATAATGCTTTGTTAAACAAAAAAAGATATTCTAAATGAAAAAACTACAGAAAACTATATTTCTAAATAAAAAAACAACTGTCCAATAAGTGGAGTTGTTTATCCAAAAATGTAGTGTATAAATGAGTTGTTTTTTGCGCATCAATAAAAATTAGTATTTCTTTTACCTGTTTTTAAAACTAAAAAACTTTTAATTTTTCTAACATTTATATAGCTCATAGATATTAGTATATAGATTGTACGAATAACTTAAATATGATCATTTTGATAATGTTTGTAAAGATCTTTAAAAGGTAAAGTTAGGTTTTTTTAATTTTATAAATCTGACTATAAATTTATTTGATATGTTGATTTCACGTTTAAGATAAAAAAATTATATTATTCTAAATAATAATTTGATTTTTTTTTTGTTGAAATATTTATATTTATTATATACCAATAATATTTCAGTTAGCCTTCTTGTTTTTAAAAGCTAACTTTATTGAATCCTTATTTTTTTTCTTTAATATATATTCTATAAATCTTATTTATATACTTTTTTTATTTTGCATAAAACATATCCAGGTACGTCTAAAATAAACTTGAAAGTTGTGTTGGAGATAAAAAAAAGAGCCGAATAGTAAAGGCGTCGTGACCGTGACAAACTAAACCACGACAACAGTTTTTCATGATATTTTTTAGATGTGTAATTTAAAATATGTTTTAGTTTTGTGTATACTTTTAATTTTGTGTTTTATTTGTTTTAATTAATAATGAAAACGGGTTGCCATTTCTGTTATATCTTCTGAATATTAATTGTGTGTTCCCAAATTGGGAACTTAAAACTTCGGTGATTGGTAAAATACAATCATCGCATAACAATTGTCTTGAGAAAGTTCAAAAGACATTTATTATGCAAAGTATAACAGTATTTTTTTTATCACTGCTAAAATTAATTACAGTTTTCTGAAGTATAACAATCAAGATGAGAAATGTTTCCGATTCAATTTTTAATTCAATATAAAGTATTAGCTCGTAAGCCTTTTTGTAGAGGAATTTTTATAATTTGTAAGATTTAAATAAAGGAATAGTTTTTAAACCATTCCTTTTTATTTGCGACCTTTAACAAAATAAAGAAATTCTGCATTAGCTAATGGTTTGCTTTTTTGTTTTTTATGGTAAACAAAATCATCATCATCATCATCATCATCATCATCATCATCATCATCATCATCATCATCATCATCATCATCATCATTATCATCATCACCATTACTGTTACCAACTTCATAATAATAATAATAATAATAATAATAATATCAAATTAACAACAAACCTGGGCATTTCTGCGTATTACATGATTGTGTTTCTAATCTAACTCCGTTACAAAGATCTCCATTACAAGCAGGAGTAGGCTTTGTGCAAGTACGTGAGCGTTTTTTTATACCACCACCACAAGTCAACGAACATTCATTATACGAAGACCATTCACTAAAGCCACCATTTACTTAAAATATAAAAAATTATAAATATGTTCTATGTTTCAAAGTTTTCTTAAACTAAAAACGTGGCCTCTCTCTTGAAGTTCCCCATTCTATATTTGAAAGAGGTGAACATGCACACATAAATGCAATCATAAAATTAACTTAAAATATACTTATACATTATTTATTTATATTAGTAAGTGAAAAATGGTAGATCAAATTATTATTTTTTTTTTTTAGAAAAAAATAACTTATAGTGATTTGATCTGATTTCACGCTTTTTTAAATCATTAGAGTGTTATTTAACTAAAAACAAACAAAATACAAAACCAGATGCGTAAAAAATATTTTCTGCATTATAAAGAGTTATTAACTTTACTAACTGTACTTTATGTATTATTAATGTTAAGTGATAGAATTTTATTTTTTGGATTTTGGATATTATTAATATAAAAATTGCACTTATGATAAAAAGAAATAGTTAAATATACGTTAATAAAAACTATATAACCATACCAAACCCTTTAAAATAACACCAAAATTAATTCACTAGAAAACATAATAAAGCTGAAATAATAAATATATTGAACAAACAAATAAGAAACTTAATTAATTTTGATTTTGAAAATAAGAAGTACATTTATTACCTTTTTGACATGTAGTTGGGACGGGTTCCGGAATATTGTCTAAGATGTTAATAAATAAAAATAAAAAAAGTGAATAAACGAAATTTACACTACACATTAAAAAAAATTAAGATAATAACTAAATATTTGTTTTAGATACTTACTGTTGTGTGTTTAATTCTGCATTTGGTATACAATATTGACTTAGGTCTGAGCTCATAAGAAATTAAGAACATTTTTTATATCAAAAATCTTTATTTATAGGATATAGATGTTTCATGATAAAATAAGTTGTTTTGGAAAAAAAAAAAATTACCATCATAATTTCCGACAAGGCCAATGGAGTGCACGTAATCAATATTATCAAAGTTTAAAAAGTTAAACATTTTTTATTTCATTATTCTTCTAAATGGCTAGAGCAATATATGCATTGCATTTGTTGCACACAATAAATGAACTGCATTTGAAAAAATTATATTTATACAAATCAACTAAACTGTAATTTTTTATTTATATATGATAAATGGGTATAATCTGATAAATATAGCAGCATATAAATAACTATATGCAGTCTTATTCATGAAACACAGTGCACACAGTGTTTCCCTATGTCTCGAAATATTTACAAATGACACACCGGTCGATTATATTCCACGACAACATTTTAAAGTTCTCTCTCTCTCTCTCTCTCTCTCTCTATATATATATATATATATATATATATATATATATATATATATATATATATATATATATATATATATATTTATATATATATATATATATATATATATATATATATATATATATATATATATATATATATATATATATATATATATATATATATATATATATTAATATATATATATATATATATATATATATATATATATATATATATATATATATATATATATACATATATATATACATGTATATATATATGTATATATATATGTATATATATATATATATATATAATCCGGCTATTTTTACAAATCCGGCCAAAATCCGGCTCTGGCAAAAATTTAGCAAATCCAGCATAATTTTAGTCGGAGTTTTGATTTTTGTCAAATATTTATTACTTTTTTTTTGCCCGTGTTTACATGTATACCTAATATTTTATTTATAAAAATCATTTTTTTTTGAAATTCTATATTTTATGAACCTCATATTTGTTTTGGTATTTGTATTTATATTTCTTTTTTAATTTAATAAGCTAAGTCTAATTTAAAACAACAACACAACAAAAAATTCTGAAGGGTAGACACACGATATTCTAGAATGATGCAGGTATAAAGACTATGATGTCAACCCTAATCAAGTGATTGGATGAGCGTTTTAAAAGCATTGAAAAGAGAAACCTCTTTATATACTGACGAGGCTGGTTGACTCACAATTTAAAACTAAGTTCTCCTCATTACAGGCCACACTGAGAGCTGAAAAAACAAGATTGAAGTCAATCTGAGCATGCTGAACAGAAGATTGACAAAACTGAAGAAAATCCACCAAAATAAGCCAGGCTTAATAATTTTTACATCATCATCATCATTACTCTGGCAATTTATTGATAAAATTATTCAGTCTACGTCCGCTGGTGGCAGGGCATATAAACAACAATTACTAAAAGGCATTGAAACTCAGCTAAGGAAATATCCGAAAGAACCAGAAACAAATAGACACAATGATCCACTACAGTGGCGGAGTGACAAAATCCCGGAAAAAAAGTTCAATAGAATTACTATAAACTTTTAAAACATATGGCCTATAGAATTTCTTTAGAATTTCTATTAATTTATATATAGAAATTGCTATTAAACTTTTTAAATAACAACAATGAAGTTTAACAGAAAACAGCAGTCACTTGGTATTCTGAATAGTCCACATTGTTGACCATGCTTAACACCAATTATTGTTGAGCATGGTCAATTATATGTTATTGACCTTTACACACACAGCCACACAGTCACATACACATATATTTATAAATTGTTACATATTTGTAGATTCGTATAAAAAAGTTTTCTTTATAATGTCTTTTATTTTATATAGCATTTTATTTTATGCAATAGTTTAATGCAATGTTTACCCAGCGAGCACAGTACGTTCATTGTACGTACAATGTACGTACAAAACGCGTCCGTCCGTCCGTGAACCAAAACTGACCCTTCATACGTATTTTTTATAATTTGTACCTAAATAGTACGTTCATTGAATGTACAATGTACGTACAAAACCCGTCCGTCCGTCTGTGAACCAAAACTGAACCTTCAAATAATATGCACTTAAATAGCAACTATACTAAATATTTTTTTATTAGATAAGCCGTATACTTAATAAAATTTGTCGCTATTATCAACTATAATCATAGTTTTGGTAATATTTCAAAAGCGTGGCTTTAAGTTAATATACGGTAGGTATATGCTTTAGAAATGGCGTCAAATGTAAGATTATGGAAAAGAATTAGTAGAAAAGTAAAGATTCTTTTAGATTCATCTAGTGACGATGAAACAATTGTAAAAGAAAATGATGTTGTTGATTTTGCATTTAATCATAACGATGAAACGTCGGAATCTTTAACATTTTTATCTTTATGAATACTTCACCGATGATTGTTATCCTAATACCAGAAGTGAATCTGAAGGTGAAATTCCAGATCTTTACAGTATTAGTGATTCTGATGATGAGGTTGAAATTCCACTATTAAATAAAAAACTGGCACAATGTGCAGGTAGAAATCGTTGGACTCGTTCTTCTGTTAACGAACTTTTATCTATCCTTCTCTAAAAATGATTCTTCTCTTCCTAAAGATGCACAAACTCTCTTAAAAACTCCAAGAAAAATAAAAACAGAAAGAAAATGTGGCGGTGACTATGCATATTATGGAATATGTAAAGGAATCGAAAGTGTCCTCAGTAAAAAAAATTTGACGATAATATCATCAAACTATCAATAAGTATATACGGAATTCCACTTTTTAAATCATCAAGTGTGTGCATGTGACCAATACTTGCATGTTTTGATAATTCTGATATTTTTATCATTGCTATCTTTTGTGGAGATCATAAACCCGACAATGTTAATGACTATTTATTAGATTTTGTCAATGAATGGATTCATTTAAGACAGAATGGCGTTTTGTTTAATGGACGCCACTTAAGCATAGAGATTCAGTCGTTCATTTGTGATGCACCATCTAGGGCCTTTTTAAAGTGCATAAAAAATCATACAGGTTATGATTCCTGCGAAAGGTGTACTATCCAAAGAACAGACGAAGGAAGAGTTGTTTTTAATCATGAAAGAGTCTTTCAATTAAGAGATAACGATAATTTGAACAGTTTGGCTACTGTGATGGTCATCAGCATGATAGGTCTCCTTTAATTGGAATTGGTATTGATTGTATTACTCTTTTGCACTAGACTACATGCATCTAGTATGCTTAGATGTAATGCGCCGTATGTTAAATTATCTGAAAAAAGGTCCTGGTGGAAAAATATCTGCTGCTCAAATTTCAGAGATATCTCAAGTATTGATTTCTTTTACTGGATGTATGCCTAGTGAGTTTGCACAACAACCTCGAAGTTTAAAGGACTTAGATAGGTGGAAAGCAACCGAGTTCTAACAACTTTTATTATATACTGGCTCGGTTGCATTAAGAGGTATTGTCTCAAAGAAGTTGTATGAACATTTTTTAACCCTAAGTCTTGCCATGACCATATTGTTACAAGATCATGATAGTGTACGTGTTCCGTATTTAGATTATACATGTAATTTATTAAAGTATTTTGTGCATCAAGCCAAGTATGTATATGGAAACACATTCATAGTTTACAATGTCCATAACCTTTTGCACCTAGTTGATGATTGTCGAACTAATTCATGTTCTCTTAACAGAATATTCTGCTTTCCTTTTGAAAACTTTCTTCAAAGAATAAAAAAGAGTAGACGTAATTCATCTAATCCAATCTCTCAAGTTTCAAAACGACAACATGAGTATCAAAATTTTTTAAGAGCGTTACCTAAGAAAAATTTAGAAAGTAAAATCTCTGCTAACAGAAAAGATAGGTGTTTTTTGCTTCTCAACTCTTCTATTGCATTTGTAAAAGCTAATAATAGTAATGGTACGTTTCAATGTAATGTAATCGGCTCTATGTATTTAGAAAATGTATTTGATTCTCCAGCTCCATCTATGAAACTTGGTATTTCATTATTTTGAACTATAAATTTTAATAAGGTTGTGGAGAAAACTCTAAGAATTGCTGATTTTTAAAGGAAGTGTGTTTGTTTGGAAGAAAAATAAGGCTTATCAATATTTCCGTTACTGCATAATGATGAGAAATCGAAACAATAATTTTTCTGAGACTTTATTTTCCTGCATTTATTTTCCACACTGTTTATTGTTTATATATACATATATAATAATTAAAAAAAATTATTTAAAAATTTAATGTTGCTTTGAGTATGCATATTCATCATTTATATAATTGATAAAAAGAAAAATTGAGCCTAATACTAATTATTCCTGTGTTACAGATAGGTTGATAGGATTTTTGTATGTATATATATATATTAGCTTCCTTAATAAAACACTCAAGGGGTTTATATGTTTCATATTCTTAATTAATGTCCAACTTTTAATACTCTAAATACAAGGTATTTGAAAATCTTGTGCAAAATATTTAAACTGTGTTTATTTAAATAAATTATTTATTTAACTGTGTTATTGTATTTAAACAATTACAATTTTATAAAATTATATTTCAATTCGTGATCATTTTTTATTTCTATAGCAATAAAATTTAAATTTTTATTTTCATTGCATATGTAAGGAGGCACTTTGTTGAGGGTATTTAAATATATTCACACAAATATAAATATTATAACTTATTGCTACTTTTAATATATATTTTAAACTTTAGTTATTTTTGCTTTAAAGTTAAAATGCCTTGGTGCCGAGCGGTATGGTTGGAGGGGTCAACAGAAGAAGAGCTGACAATCCCGTCAATTTGGATTGAAGGAGCAGTAAATGAAAAACAGTTTGTGAGGTTGCCCAATAA